CCTTAGATCATTCTGCTTATGTTTGATTTGTATTTTCTATTTTATCTCATTATTGCTCAAGCTACCCTAATTTAGTATCCGGAATCAGATCTAGTAAACGAAATTATGGTTTACAGTTTTTTACTAGAGCGCTTCCTTGTTTTACTGAAATTTATTCTCTCTTTTACGTAGATAAAGTAAAAATAGTTCCTCATAATATTTATGTACTTTTAACTCCTCCTGCTTTGGCTCATTTTATAATGGGAGATGGAGCTGCTAAGTCTTACGGTCTAACCCTTTGTACTGATTCTTTTCCTTTACCTGATGTTATACGTTATGATTTAAAATGTAGTTTACATTTTAAATGAAAAAATCAATATCGTATCTACATTTCTCAACATTCTATGCCTTTACTCCGTACTATTGTAACTCCTTATTTCCATTCTTCTATGCTTTACAAATTAGGTTTATAATTAAACTTAAATCCTACTTTGGTTAAGCTATTTTAGGATTCGCTTTTGAATAAGCTGAGGCTACAGGTCAAAAAGGCCGTAGTAAAACTTCACTATATGCTGGAAGTTCCTAAAGCTTAATTTACTTATTAAGTGATAATGATTGAGATATAACAATGGATAATCAGCAGGAAACTATAAAAAAAAAAAAATAGATTTCTCAGAGACTGTGTGTGAAGTATCGAATTGTTTCAATAAAGATATAGTCCAATTTTCTTCTATCACTACGGTCATTTCTAGTATGATAGAGATAGATTCGCTATTTGCCCTTATGATGGCGTTTTTACTTTTGTATGTTGCTTAACTTTCTTTGCTTTCAATTTGGGTTTAACTCAGTTAAACCTAACCCTCGAAGGTTTGGGATTTAGCCAATATTTTAATTATAGATTCTTCAGATATTTGTTTGCTAGTCCCATTAGTCTCTTGGAAAGAAGAGCGATCTAATCATTACAAGCGGCATTATTTAGTAGTAAAACATATCCAAGCAAATAAAGAAGTGGATATTGAAATATTGGAAAAGCGTTGTGTTTTGATGAGTATTCCCAAATTACAGATGAACATTTAGCATTATGTTTAGATATTTATAACAAACTCGTTTCTATGCCTTTGCCCGTTCCAAATACATAATATGTATTACCTTTTGTTAACCTAGTAGGACCTGAGATAACAACAGATAATGTACTGGTTGCTATCTTATTAAAGGACTTAATACTGGTCGTTCTAACGCCACAGGAATAGAGAATATTGAATCTTATATAGGCCAAGCAAAACATTTGGGACATAGAGTTAAAGACCATGCAAAAAAAGCATGATTCTACTACTAAGGAATTTGTAAAAACTCTTAAATATAGAGGGACTGTAGAATTATTTATTGTAAGAAAGGATGTTATAATACCAGAGGGTTTATCCCACAAATAATTTATTTCTTTGCTCGAGCAGTATCTTATAATCAAACTTAGACCTACCCTTAAAAAAAATTAATAGCTACTCCTGGTATTATGTGATCTCCTTCAGCTATTCAGAAACATAGAGAAAAAATAGCTTTATATAAAAGAGGAAGATGGAAAATTAACTCTTATTCAAATCTTCCCTTCAGGTAGGTCCTAGGTCCAAATTTAGGAATGAGTCAGGGATTTTATAAAAATTTAAAAATAAGAAGTAAAGGGTGATATAAGGATAAATTATATTTTTCTGAAGTTGAATTGGAGAATACAAAACAAAACATATTATCTTTACTTGAGTTTTCAGAAATTGTAAAAGAATTAGCTACTATAAAGAGAAAGGATTATAGGAGAGTTAGAGTAGTGTAACAGATGTAATAACAGGTGAAGTTACTCTTTACGATTCTATGTGTGCTGTAGGGATTAGAAATTATTTGGAACATTCAAAATATACAAACGTAAATTTAAGTTAATTTTTATGTTTTATCCTCAAGATCAGTTAATTATAGAAGTAACAAAAAATTATGAAAAAAAAAGTAATAAGTTTGAATTTTTAGATTTTTAAAAATTGTAATATTTTTATGATATCTAGGATTTGTATTCTCTTTTTTTGTTTTGTGCTTTGCACAATAAAAACTAACAGAATTGGAGGCTATCCTATGCATAGGGTTTAATCAAATTAAACCTAAATCTTAATTCTATTATTTTAGTGTTAGTTTTTATTAGGCTACACGTTTTCGTGCTTATGATTAATTAGGAGTTAGGTTCCTTAAGGTTCATAAAAAGTATATATGAATTTTAAGCTAGTTTAATGTGATAGCGTAATAGGTGTGGTGTGGCAAAATACTTAAATTTCGTGAATACCCTAAAGCAATTTTACAAATTTAAGCAAGGTAAAAATGTAATTTTGGGCTGCGCAGCCCATATAATTATTAATTGAAATTGATGCACAATAGTAAATGGGTAATCTGCAGCCAAGTTTAAAACAAGTTTTAATGCAGTTTAACAACTATATGGTAGTAGTCGTCAATATATCGATATTTAAGACATAGTCTAATCCTTGATGAAAATAATTACCATAAAAGGGTGCGTGTGATAACATACTATAATATCCACGAAATAATTAAAGGGATAAATAAAATTAGCTTACCTACGGTTAGAGTTAATAAAAAGATAGAAGAATATGGTTGTTCTGCTTTAAAACAGAAGTATTGCTCCTAGGTTTCTCTTACAGGAGTTTTTTATTAAATTAAATAAAAGAATGAATAGTAATGTCAAAATTTAAAAGTAATAAATAACATATTTTTTTATACTAAAAGTAAATAGAGTTAAAATAGAAAGGAAAAACCTTAACGTATGAAAAGGTACAATTAAATGAGTTGGTTCTGAGTCTATAATATTAGGTGATAGCTCAACAGGTAATAAGTAATCATTTACTTTCTGTCTTTTCTCCCTCTATCGAGGCTAGAAGAGATACATAAGGTTGTAAACTCTCATCTGATTGGCGGCTTTACCAGCCCGTCTGTGAAAAAATGATAGGCAAGATATTAATAGAGGCCAAACCAGCTGGTGGTCTTAGTAGTATCAGAGTGAGAAGGCACTATGTAAAATAGCGTTTCTATGATTATATCGACAATTAACTTTAAGATATAAAAGCATTTTAATTCATTGTCTTAACACTGTTAATTAGCTAGTAAAACTAGTAATCACAAGGTTATGAAGTCTCCTCGACATAGTTTAAAGCGCCATTTATGGAAGGTGATAATAACATTAATTAAACGAAATGAAAAACAATTTAGTTAAAAACTTACTTGTGGCTACTTACTCAATCAATAAAAATAGCTATTTCGAGTCTTAGGCTGAATTAGACTGTACATTTAAAAATTATCTATCAGTTTCTTATTTAGAAATAGAAATTAAAATACATAGGTATTACTTAAAAATGGCTATGCAAAATTTAAATTGTAAAAATTAGAATATTGTGAATCAGAGAAATGTCTTGAAAGGGAATATTATTATTGTTTGAATACAAGATATGTACAAAAGCAAATTCTTCTTTAGGTCGGTATTGCAATGGAAGAATTCAAATCTAATATTAGTATAGCAAGGTTCGATTTTAAATATTCTTATAAATCAATTTGTCAAACAGCTATAGCCTTAAAAATTATAAACAAAGGAATATATATTTTACCAAGCTCCTCTAAATGGAGCTTTGCCTCGCGGGTACTTCTTCTAAAGGTTATAATATTTCTTTCAATAAGTATTATATTTAAAATATGAAAGTATTAAATATAGCTATATGTTTTTTGTCATATTGCCCAATATCTTTTTGAGACAAGACCTTTATGTATTGTTTTCGATATTTTAAGCTGTGTCTTCTATTTTATTTGAAATTGTTAGTGATTTATTTAAATGCAAGCATTGCTTCGTACACCTAAAACTTTAATTCTTCTTCTTTTATTTATGAATTCAGCGAAGCTTAATGCTACTTTGTGTTTTTAATTACAGGATATTCAGTTGCCCTATTCTTATGATACTTTCGTTTCGTGCCCTATAAAGCATGTAAATGTAGTACTTCATAGAGCTGAATTCTTTATTTTTATAAAAAAATCCTTTATTCGGTTAGTAACCTTTTGGTAAGGTTTCCTAGTTCGATTCTAGGATAGGGTAATGCTTTTTATTAGTAGCACTCTTTTATTGTTAGTCAATGCGGTCACTTTGAGACGAGAAAAATCAATTTTATTTAATAGGGTAGCTGTCCTTATACTGCTATATTCTGGAATCATATGTTATGATAGTTTAAATATTACATCATTAGATACAGGAATAGGTATATATGGTGGTTTATTCCATTCAACATCCATAACACATAGCTTT